ACTTGAAATATAATATTTAAAATACAATAATTACTTTATGAATGACATTAAGTGCTAATGGTTTTCCATTTGGATAGCGAACAATTCGTGTTTCTAATTGCTTGCCACTTTTTAATTGTTTTTTAACTAATGATATTGTTTCTTTAGCCAATGATGCACTCGTACGTAACATAGCATTATCATTTGATAACTGTGATTATGTTTGATAAGAATTATGATAATAAGATGGTAATTTTCTTGTGAAATTAAACAATTTTAAGCATTTTTTTTTTAAATCATGCAATTCTTTTTGTTTTAATTTATAGTACAATTTCTTTTAATGTATCACGTTTTCATGTGATATGAAATATTTAATTTTTTTATTTGATTTAAAAACAAAACGGTGATATTATTTGTGATTGATTTCGGCAATTAATTTAACGATGTAATTGTATAATTTATCTGGTAAGAATTTAATAATTAATTTGATGATATAATTATGTGATGGATTTTATAGTTATCATTTGATAATTTTAGGGAAAAAATTGTGTTTAAATTATAAACATAATAATTCTTTACTTTGTTGAATATGATATTCGGAGGGGTCTCTTTCTTTTCATCATCTTCCACATCTGATATTTCACCTGCTAATGCTGCTAAAATTATATATTACTCTTAAAATTTTTTTAAACGCATTCAATTTACAGCTTTCTTTTTTTATTACTTAATCAAAATTTCATGTTAATACAAATCATAATCTTTTGAAAAATATGGCAAAAAAATACAATTGAAACATTTGAATATTTAGGAATAATTCACGCTTTTATTTAATTACATTTTAATTTATATGATTAATTATTTAGAAATTTTTTTTTTGCATCAGAATTCAAATTAAATGATCTCAACTGTCATTAAATGATCTTTAGCCGTCTGCTAACTCAAATTTATCTCAATTAAGGAAATATTCTAGTATCGTTTAATTTTGTCTAGAATTATTAATTTCTTTTTGATTAATGGATGATAATTTGATTATTATCGGACAGTTACTATTCTTTTTTTGTCATAAAAATTCGAAACGAACGTATCCGATTTCAGAATCTTTCAATAATTTTTAATTTTAATTATTCTAAATGTAACCTTCAATATCGCAATAAAATTTTGTCATATTTTTTTTAGTTGAATGTTTTGGTTGCAATAGCAATTTAGATATCGATATATTGTCACTATTGAATTTATCATTCATTTTGTACTACAACAAATGAAATATTTGGGAGTATAAGGACAGTAAAATTAAATTATCAAATTTGACATATTAGATTTAACCATACAATTTTAATCAATACTAGTGATAATTTCCATTTTCCAAATAATTTAACTAACTAAATTAAAGCAAAGATACAAACTTACCGAATGCATTCGATTAAAAGAATTAACTGCTCCAGAAACGGGATATGGTAGCATATTCGAACGGCGAACTTGAATTAAAGAAAAAGAAATTGTACTACTAAATTATCACATCGTTAAATTATGCAATTATTAATATTATTATTAATTATATTCTTACTCTAATGTTTAACACCGTATCGTTTCAATACGAAATGATACTACTTATAAGCATTTATATTAGCTGTAAATATCACTGATAAAACTGTCATATTTATCATAAATATTATATTTCGTGATTATATAATATTGAGAATTTCAGTAAAAATGTAATATTTTTGCAGTGACAAATTAAGTTATGATTGTGTAATATTAATGATAACTTAACATGTCATCTAATCTTATCATTATTAGATAATTTTCTTTTAATCCACTATCACTTATTTAACAAACCATTTCGAGCGCAAAAATTTTGCTGATAACGTCGACGAATAAATGATTTATGATTGTTACTATTACCATGATTGCGATTAAAACCAAAATTTTCACGCTGTTTCCGTTTCATATGAGCTAAAATTTGAAATTAAGAAAAAATAAAAAAATTGAAATGATATAAACTTGAAAAAAATTTTACAGTTTACCTTTCTTATGAATATTCGTTACATTTTGACAGTTTTTAAATTGATTACCACTTCTTTCATTCTGTAATTCAGTTGATAATCAATTTACTCCGTATATTTAGATATTCATATTTAAACTCATTATATCAAATATTTAATTGATGCATTTATTTTATTTATACATTCTTCGAATTATAGCATTAAACTTTATGGAAATGTTGTATCATTGCAACTTGTAATTCTAAGACTAAAATTCTCAAAATTATTGTTGGCAGTAATTTTATATCTTTGTCTTTGATTTTGTTTCTTCTAAAATTGAATTTTATTAAAAAATTAAAGTTTCCCAATTTTTTTTTTGCTTTTATTATTATTATTTGTTTAGTAATGCAAAGCGATAATTAGCAAAACAAATTGTAATAGCATAATAATCTCAGAAATGAATATGGTAAAAAGTGATAACGTTCTTATCAATTCTACTTGGCGAAAATTTCTAAAGTATAAATGCAGTTGTAATGTCATTTTAAATTTCTCGGATTGATAATACACTAATTGAATGCACTGAGAATAGTTATCGCACCTGTGCGACAATATTATCACCGGCTGCAGTCTGTTTTCAAATCCCGAAATAGTTTGGTATTTCACTGCTGTTGTTGTTATTGTTGTTGTTGTTGTTATTTTAGATTTCAAATTAAAATTTAAAAAATAAAATCTCATTTCCATCACTCTATATCAATATGTTTATGAGCGTTTTTTTTTTCAATTTTAATATAAATTGCTAACCTTTTGTTTTGTCGTTAATTGGCTAACGTTATACTTCAATGGTTTAGTGATATTCAAGCATTCCATTACATATCGATATCGTAAATCCTTAATTTTTAGCAATTTAATTGAAATTATTGTATGAATCCAAAAGACGAGCACAACATCATTTAATCAAGCAATTATAAAGTTAAAATAAATACAGTATAATTAAATTAGAATTTATTAATTAATTGAATGATAGCATAAGTGTATTTAAATAAATTATATACAGACAAGGTTAATGTACAACAATATAATATTAACAGTGATGATAAAAATAATACATGACATAATAATGAAAACTGAAATAAAAAACTACTTTTTAATTTTATCACCATTAAATTACAATTAATACATTTATTTAGCTAATTATTAAATAGTGATAAATAAAAAGTAGTGATATTTTATACTATCAATTTAAATTTTGCACGTGTTTAATAGTCCAAAAATTTTCATACTTATAATAATAAAATACTAAAAAATTCTTGGATACTAAAAGTACGAAAAAAACATATCATCTTTTATTTTTTTTTTAACTTATAATAATATATTCTTTAATACATGTTAACAGTACATAACAAAAAAGCAGAGCATATTTATTGTGAAGTGATAATAAATAATAATAACTTATCGTATAAAATTCATATATTATATTTTAAGTGATATGATGCGACAATCGTACAATTCCATCGCAAATATTCTCTCCCCTAATTAATTCATCCAATTTATTAATGACAATTAAACTACTTCATGTGACACATTAGCATTTAGCGCAATTGTTCGAATTCCATTATCAATAGATTGTATTAGCTGTAGCCATTTCCCATCCGTGCAACCAATTTCCATGGTAAACAACCAGTCGAACTGTATCGATAACTTTGCATCAATGAATAAAAATCCAGAAATTACATAGTATTATACAATTATATTTTCAATAATTTATTAATTAAGTAAATGTATATTGGGAAATTTTTGTTCACATTTAAAAACTTGAATACTGCAATAAAAATATAACTAACTGTATTTTGAAATAAATAATCAATACATGTATTTGCCAAGAGAATTTGCAAATATTACACGAAAAGAAAATGAAAACTTATTCTAATTTAATCACTAAAAATGTAAATTTATTTTGAATGCAATTTTGAAACGATGCAATCAAAATCAAGATTTAAGTGAATATTTTTCCATTTACAGTAAATTATTACTTAAAGAATTGTAAATGCTGCGGCAAAAATTTAATTTAATATCTTAATTTTTCTATTTTAAACTGAATTTCTTTCATGATGAAAAAGATATTCCTTTATACTAAATTACAAAGTAATAAGTTCTATCCATTATGTAATTAAATTTGACTTTATATTACATTTTATTAGCAAATTATTGTTTTGCTCCAAATATTTACACAACTTTTCATTTATATAGACTGTGAAGAAATAGAAATCACTACATGTTAATTTTTAATGATTTATTAAAATGTTAAAATTATCATTAAATCGTACATCGTATTCACACAGATTTAAAATCTTTCAATTTTAAAGTTT